TATATATATTTAAAAAATAATAATTTATATATATACATATTAAATTTAATATCTTGAAATTCCTTTTCTGTTTTTTTTTGTACATATGATAGAGCACTTGATAGGCACTTGAACGAGTATTTAGTTCTAACAATAAATATGTACATATCAAAGCAATTTTCCAAAATAGACACTTGCTGATCCACCATATCCTCTGACACTTTTCTATGGATTCGTTTATATCCTATGAGTTCATTTATTTCACGACATTTAGAAGCATTCAGCGCATATTTTGCAGTACTCATTTGGCTATATCGCTGCATATAACTATCTATATAAAATTTATCAATGATACTAGCTATCTATTTAAGTTTTTTTTATTTAATATGTTGATAGATTTTTGTCCAATATGGATGAATAGAGTTCTTGCATTTGATAGACTTGACCTAAGACTTATGGAATGATTATATCAATTATAGAAATCGTGATTAAAAAATAATAAGAATTTGTGGCAGTAATTGCCAGAAAGTCTATTTCTATTGCTTTTCAGTTTTAATAGATTGATAATAAATAAACTAATTAGATTTCTAATCTGTATTTACTTCGTTAAAGTCGTGATGAATGAGAAATTTTCTAATTTATTATAGGGAACGTTTTGTACGAAACTAGATTTATAATGTGAAAAAAATCGAAAAGCAAAATGACTTCTCTTTGATGTGCCTTATTTACATTTCTCACCGATAAGATACAATGTCAGCATAAGGATTTTACCAAACGGGTTATAAAGCAGTAGGTTACGTGAATCACGTTTATGTCGCGTACAATATAATATCAGTTCTTGCACAATTGTATGCGCATGCATATGCGTAATCATGCGGTCGCGTAAGACAGCTAGAATAAATCGATCGAACGTAATAATTGAGCAACACGAAGATAAATTTTAATTTTAGAAGCTACGACTGTATATGAATGTAAATCAAATATTTATTTCGCGATTTATCATTTAAAAATGGCTTTATGTGACAGTCATTAGTTTCATAATTCGCGATTGTAAAAGAATTGCGAATCGATGATTACGAAAACATTTTTCCTAAGATAATGAAAACAGCTATTCAAAAATTAAATATGGAGAGAGATATTTTTTTTACCATCTTACAGAGAAAAAAAAGAGAAAGAGAAATATCAGAGAGGATAATCAATACGCCTTCGAGATATCACGTTAACTTCCTTGAGATTTCTTATTTTGATATTAAAAGTCCATCCGCCAGAAGAATAATAATATTATAATGATAAACTATGTGTGTGTTCAACATTAACTATTAAATTTCAGAAAATAATTATTGCATAAATAAAAACAAGTTGCTTTTTTGAAATAACGTTATAATATCTTGTGTATAAATAGAATAGAATTTTAGTAGTCCGTGAGTGGCTCTATAAAAACTTTATTCGTTTTAATTTATCTGTATTGAATATTTGTACCTTTGAGTGTAATAGTATTTTTCCTACTATTATAGATTTCCATCATCATTTAACTTTTATCACAGTATATAACTCTTTACGACAGCATATTATTGTGTATTTTTTAAAATTGAGTTGACAGATATATATTATATATATCTATAATAAACTCAATAAGCTTAATTTGTTTTAATTTATATTGAAACAAATATTTATACATTTGAGTGTGAGTATATCTCTTACTGTCAGACTTCCATTTAACTGCTGCTATTATATTGCGTGTTAAAAAGTCGTATCGCTCACGGGCCATACACATACATTTGTACATCACATTGATTATCACAGATCCAGTAATTGTCACAAATGTGTTATAATTGTTATAAATGTGCTGTTTCAAGGAAAATATGAAATAATATATTTTATAATATTACACAGTCATTGCAAACAGTGCGATTACAGTACATTAAAATATATGTTTTTTATTTCTTCTCAATACTTTTACCGTTATACTCATTTGAGACAAATTTGGTTGTTAATTAAATTTTAATTTATTAATTAAATTATTTTACTGATAAATAATGATATAAATCTTTGGCTTTGAAGGAGTTACAATAATTTGACAGTAAATATGTTTGGTGATTTCTTAGAGATATTAATGTATCTTTAAGAGGAGTGCTGTTATATATAGTTTAGAACGGTAATATTTTTTCCCTTATGTTTTCTTGTCCAATTTTTTTTTTAAATACATGTTCGACTTTGAATTTTCGACATATCGGTTGAGTTGCCTCTATCTCGAGCTTTGAGTTGAAGGATCAGAGTCATGGTGATTCAGCTGTTTTTTGCTCATACGATCGGTTGACGCTTACCAAACCGGTCCTGCAACGGGTACTGGACCATCAGTGAGGAATGGTAAGAGGAGAAGGAAGGATCTTCGAACTTTACCTGACGTCACCGTCGAGGTCAATGTCATCTCCTTGAATCAGTGCAAGAACTCGCATAACCGTCCGTGCGATAACGACCGAATTCCTTTTGAAGTTCGATGATCTATAGTCTAAGAGAAAATTTTAATGATTTTCTTTGATAACAAATAGAATAGAGAGCTATATAAAGCTGTAAAATGACTTGTAAAATATTTTACGCTTTTAGAAAAATATTTCAGAGGAAAATAGAAAAAGCGGTGAAATATTTAAGAAAACATTATAGTACAAAAAAAAGGGAAACATTTTATAAAAATAAAACATAATTAATTTTATATAAAAATATGCAGAGAACAAAAAAATCGCAGATAATATTTTGTATTGTTTTGAGGTGTATTTTGAATGTTAGTCAAATCGCAGGGACTATTAACATTTTCTAACATGCAGTCTCGAAGTTCCTTGCTTCTATTTTCGCAATTCTTCTGCCTTGACAAGTTCTTTGACTTGAGAATGATCATATCGAGAAATTCGTTGTCCTACTTTCAACCCTCTCCATGATAATACGCCTCCCTGATTCACTCCCACCCCTCGACTCTGATCCTCCCCGAAGCGGAGAGGGATATAACAGGAGGAAAAGAGCGAGAGAAATCACCTCCACGATCAATACGGTAATGACGCTCCCGCCAGGATGTTACTATGCTAAGCGTTTCGCTGTTTTATACTCGCGATTATGCTGTATCTTCGATCCTTAGACTATTTGAGCTCGAATCACGATAGGTCGTCCCTTATGGGATTTCATCATTTTCTTCTCTTCTCCCTCATTTCTTCTGCTGATATCTGTGAAATCAAATTCGCTGAGACGTATAAGCACGTTGCCATTAATGAATCCAATTAAATATTAAAAAGTGAAATAAAATATAATTAAATCAAGGATTCTATATGTTATAGAACACGGATTTTCTCTTACATTTAGGAGAATTCATACATTTAATTGTAAGAATTAAAGCATTATTATTTGTACACAATTTGAATAATTCTATTTTTCCAAAGAAAAATCTTTTGGAAAGTAATCGAAAATGGTCACATTGTGACTTCAATAATTTGCTCACGAGAAACGTCGGCTCTTTTTCTCCACGAGGATTTGTGTCGCACGAACCACGGGCGAAATATCGATAGCTTCAGCCCCGGAAAATTGGTTCGATAAAAAAGTGCTACCTGATCAACATCCACGACGAGCTGACGCTAAGTCCGCCCCACAGTCAATATCTGACAGCCGTAAGTTCGCGGATGCTTTGACGGGAGTGGAAGGGTAGAAGGAGGGACGTACGATAAAGCGTTTCCTTTCTATGAGCAATGAGGCGAAAAATTGCTGACCTCCTCTTACCCTGCATCATTGATTGGCTGGTTACCTATCTACCTACGATGTCCCAGCTCTTCACACGATTTTCCAATACCTCGTTTACTATCATCCTCATTACCGTCCCTCGCAGAAGCAGTTTCGTCTTGTTACGAACCCTCCGCTTGATGACACAATGCTATGCATTGTCGGTAAAGTGAAGTAATGTTTTTCATTTTATTTTTGTGAATATACGCGCGCTTTATTTTTGTTGCGCTCTCGTTATGGATGAGTACGAGTCATCACAGTTTATTGACTGTCGTAAAATTGTTGCTTGAATTGGTATACTGATAGGATGGAGTATTGAATCAATATGTATAACGAGCTTATAAAGAATAGAAGAATTATTATTAGAGATAATATATTTCGACAAATTTGTACAATCAAAAATTATATGAATAATTTTTAAAACAAATTATTATTAAATATGTATTATGAACATGGGAAGACAATGTTTCTCGATGATGATGAAAATGATGATTTAAATTAATATTCCAATTGAAATTGATTCCGTTTTTTTTTTCCTTTTTGCTCATCATCCTAACAGCTTTCCTGCAAATTCCTACGAATTTTAAATCTCATTTCTCTCCTTTCATGAAACGAAATTTAACTATGACGCGATTATATAGATACAGGTATTTAAAGATACCCTTGTGTGCTCCGCGCCGGAGAAGGTCACGGTCGTGAGAAACAAAGTCAAAGTAGTTCGGAATACCGTGGCGAGTTGTCGATTAATTTTCTGATGGCTCTCGCGTTTATCGCCCATAGCGGTCGGCAACGAGAGGGAGGGGGTTTCTCCTAGTAGGAGCGTAGAGGACGATGAGGGTGATTAGCAGAGTCCGCATGCGCCGTCTCTCTGGCGTCTCGTAGCAGCGGCGGCAGGCAGCAAAGAGACCGGGGGCGACCTAAACCCCCCTTTTCCCGAGCAAGGGGGGGATGGCCGAGGAAGGGACCGCCGCGAGGGGTCGGTGGGAGGGGGGACGCGAGGGGAGGAGGAAGCAAATTAATACGGGCGAGCAAGAGGGTCCAGCTAACGAACGAACCGACGCCAAGTCTAGTGCCGACCAGCGCCGCGACGCCTCGCAATCCTCTCTCTTCCCTGTCTCTTCTCTTCTCTTCTATTCTGTCGCCCTTCGTATCCAACGACAGGGCTCTCTGTTGTTTGACGAGCGCGGTTCATCTGGATCGTCTCTCGAATCTCGGCAATCCCGATAATAACGCAACCGATTGGATCAGCTTAAGGGTGAGACGCGGTCACGTAACGAGTGAGCAGTGTGAGTCCGTGAGTCGATGGACCAATCGCCTCGCTCTCGCGGAGGAGGCCATCCGTGTCGTTGTCCCGTTCAGCGCGATCCTTTCGCGGTGACGGTGAAGTGTGAAAGTATATCTTTGCTTTGATGGTACTGGCCATGACAGTGAAGGATGGGATTCTCCTCCGTCTTTGTTTCATACCGCGGGCGACTGTACAAAAGTGCACGTACGTATCGTGCAAAGAGAGTAACGGTTTTCTCATTCGTTAATGATGCAAGCGACGTTGCACGGTTCTTCTTTCGTATTCAAATATCGTTTGATCGACACTGCGGGATATAAAATAGATTTTTGGAAATGCTGATATTTTTGATTTTATAACGGTGAATGCGACGTGTCATAAAACTGTTTATTTTTAATGATAATTTTTTGGCCGAGATCCACAGTTATTTTATACACCGTGTATATTATTTATTATTTAATTATGAAGTTATGTTGATATTAATTACATTATACGATTATGACGATCGGAATATAATATTTCAGATAAAATGCAGGCAATACAGAATCCTCTTTTTAATTATTTATTAATTTCAAAATATTTTATAAAATTGAAGTACAATTTAAAAACATTATGAGAAAGAGAGAGGGAAAG